AATTTAAACTGGAAAAGGAACAAAAAAAAGAGTTACTGGGATGGATAAATGAGCCTGTCTGATAGGGTGAGATTAAGATGAGATGGCTTGTTTAGCTTGAAGGCCGGTTATTACTTTGTATAAGTACATTTACCAGTGAATACTAGTGAGCAAGAAGAGCTATTTAAAGAACAGTATCATATTTTCTCACATGCAGCACATTTCTGAATATAATACATACTTTGGTTGTGAAAGGCAGAATAGAGAGGGAAAAGATTTTTCCAGAGTTATAGGTGCATAGAGTAGGAATGGAGTCTAATTTTCAGCTGAATCACCCTGTTTTTTAGATTTAACCAAACCTCAAACTTCTGCTCCTGAAGACAGGTCTTCATTGGTGGATCTATTATTTTGAAAAGAACAGAAAAGTCTCCAAGACTGTAAAATAGGAGGATGGAGATCAGGAGCAGCTAGCAGACAGCAAAATTGCCCAAAGACAGCATAGATTGATTAGTGATACATCGAGACTATTAAAAAGGCAAAACCTCTGGAGTGAAGCATAATGAGCCATTAAGTCAATTGATTCCCTCAGCTGCCTGAATACTAATGCAACAGCTGCTACATTATGGAGTGGAAATCAAAGCCAGGTGCTTCTATCACAGAAAGTAAGCCTTCTTGCTTAATTAGGGGGACCATATGTCCTGGTCTATCTGGGGACAGTCCTGGATTATGCAGGTGGTCCTGGCTGGCTGGTAAGAATTAAAATCAGTGTCCTGGAAACACAGGGGTTTAAAGCGGAGTCTGGTGGGGAAGCAGAGCAGTATGGTGTGCCAGGCAGGAGGGCAGGCAGGTAGTTCACCCACCCGCCTGCTCAGTGCACCACGTTGCTTCACCCCCACTCTACCTACCTCTACCTACTGCGGTGCTGTTGACTTGGGACTGTGGGGGGCAGGAGGCAGTGTCCCAAATTTCCTTATGGTCAGCCTATGCTTAATACATGCACACCAGTCTTAGAGGGATGATTTTGGAGGAAAAGATGCAGGTTGTACTTGAGAAAATATGGTGTCAGTACAAGATCATATGGCTGCAATCATGAACAAAGGTAAGTGGGAAATGACATGTTTTTATAACTATTATAGGAATAGAGTTTTGGACTGATCTTCTGCAGACAGCATGAGGGAACAAAAGACCTGAATTGCTTCAGAAACATGACAAGATTTATGGAAGGGATAGTATGTTCTTGGATCTAGAATTAGTTCATGTAGTGTGTGGATTCAAGTATTTGCGCTCCCCCTGCTAAAGTTGAAAGAATTCATGGGTAGGAGATGCCTTATAAAACCGTGGTTCAGGGATGTGCTATTGGTTGTCTGTTTTGACTAGGAGGGATTTTTTTCCCTTGTGAATGATTTATAGACTCTTGTGGCGCATCCACACTTGCAGGCACATGCAGTTGCAGTAGCTCAAATAGCAGTGCCACAAAACTGTGCCAGAGATTTTGTGCCCCAGCACACGTGCCTGAACATGCACTTTAGTGTGGGACAAACTGACTATGCCCAGCTTCTCCCCAATCTTCAGCCAGGGGGAGCTAGAGACTGGGGCCAGCACCTGTGCTGGCCCCAGCAGTATAAAAATGTGCCCTGGTGAGCAGCTCAGGGGTATTTGTGCTTAGGAGCTTTTGAGGCCAAGCCACTTGGTATTTGGGGACACTAGCCTCTTGTGTCAGCTGGACCGCTGAAGCAGCCCTAACTTAGAGTGCCCCCTGCACCCTCTACCCACTGCAGCAGCCTGGCAGTGGGGACTGTTGCCTGGCTGTGACCTGCTGCCACCTGTGACAGCATCCACCCCCTTGGACCTGTGGCTCTGTGGCAGCACACCTGCCAGACCCAGACAGGTTCTGCATGGCTTCCTGGGCTCTGGTGTGGGCACTGCAGCAGAGCCTCCTGCATTTCTGGGCCAGCTGCCAGTGGGCTGTGTCTGCACAGTTGGCCTTCGTGCAGAACTACTGTAATGTCTTCTGGTGCCCCCGTCCTGCCCTCTGTTGCAGTGGCCCACTTTAAGTGTCAAAAGTGTGTCCTCCTGGCCCCAAATGTCCAGGTCAGCCACCTCATCTGCTCTCCAGCTGGTTTCCCAGTGCTGGCCCTTGGCAGGCTCCTCTGTCTGGGTCTCACGAGCACTTCTCACAAGCAGAGATCCTGGTGTTCTCTGTTCAAAAGTTGCAAATTCTTTAATAAAACCCCCAAATTCTCTCATTTAAATACCCCAGATCTGTGATTAAAATGAAATGCCACTATATATAGAGAGATCAGTTGGGTAATGTTTTGTTTATATATTTACAATTTTAAAGCAATTTGGAAGCCTACCAGTGCCTGTATCATCATAATAAATGGATTCTAAATATCTGTACTCTTCGGCTTTTGCTTTTGGTTTTTTATCATAGAAAAATCAGAGCTGCCCCTGCCCTTGCCCCTCACTCTCAACCCACAGCCCCATCAGTGCCCTTCACTCCTGACCCACAGCCCCTGCCTGCCCCCACTAGCTCCCTCCCAGCAGCAGCTCTGTCCCAGCACCAGGACATGAGTCCAGCTGCAGCAGTCCCACCCACTGCTTTGTGACACTGAGCAGTTGCAGCCCTTGCTGTTCTGTTCCCTGCGTCTGTGCCCAGGCCCCAGAGAACCCCATGCTGTTCCTGGGAAGCCCTTGACTGGGGCTCAGGGACTGAGCTGCTCAAGCCCCTTTCCTTTCAGGCAGGCCTCTTCCTGTACAGGCTGCTCTGCAGCGGCAGGGAAGCTATAAGCCTGACTCTGGAGGCCTTTCCTGCCCAGAACACTCCCCCACCCGTGATCCCCATCTCTTTCTCATACACACACTCCTGCTGCCGCCTCCACCCCTCTCCCCAGCCCATCACACCCTCCAAGTGGTTCCTGGGACCAGAAGCCCCCCCAGACTCGGGCCGTATGTCCCAGCATTAGTGTGGGCATGGTGCATGGCTGCAATGCACCTGCCAGCAGGTCCTGTCCCATCCCATTTGGCTGACTGGGTGTGCAGAGTGTGAGATTTGTTGGGGGGGGGGTTGAGACTTATGCACGGGTTTGTGGCTGGGTATATGAGTAGGGGTTTTGTGGGGGTGGTTTGGAGATGTGGGGTTTGTGGGTGTGGGGGGATTCTGTGGGTTGGGGGAGACTGTGTGGGGATGGGAGGAGCTGCTCGGGAGGGGTGGGATCTCTGCCCCCCCCCCCCC